GGCCATCACAAAGCGTCTTGCAAATGGAGCTGTGTCAGAGCCTCCACTCCTCCACAAAACACACTGCTCTGGGCTCTGCTATTGCAGGGTCCGGCCAGGTGACTGGCTGGCTGACCTGCTCTCCAGGGCAGAGGAAGGAACGCCAGCCTTGCAGCATCTCCCCTCTGAGACAGCGGATGCATTAACTGGGTAGGTTAATGCCATGGTGTCAGTGTGGCATCTCCAGAGCCCCAGGGGGCCAGCGCAGAGATGCTGGCCAGGTGCGCCCTGTGCACACACAGTTATTTCAGAAGCCATAGGGCATGTTTATCCCAACTGAGTAAAGACAAGGCAGTCCGGTTTCCAGCTTTCCAGAAGGATATAACCAGGAATATTTGTTAATTCATATTAGATCAATTTAATTGGCCAAAGAACACTGAGGACAAAGGCATCTTACTTTTTGAAAAAGAAACTTATTGAAAAATTAAGTTCTTATAATACAATTGTAATTTGTTTAAAAGGAAATGTGTTCTTTCCTCTTTGATTAATCCTCGAAGGAGTTTCCGTAGAACAGGCTAGACACGCAAATTATTTCTGGCCTTGAGAGAGAATTTGCTTGCCTACGGTGGCTCTTTCACAACCCCTGGCAGGTCTTGTTTATTTCCTTACAGCAATGAGACTTGACTCTTGGGGGATGGAAGATTGCCCCCCTCAGGCAGTGTCAGCAAGTGAGGAATTGAAACCATTATAGCACCAGAAATGGGTCTCCAAGTACATCTTGTTCCTTAACAGGGGAAAGAAGTGTACACGCTACAGCTGAGGACTGTAGCAGCCAAGGCTCTCAGGAAAACACCCGGCAGGAAGCTCTCTGCCACCGTCTCATGCCCCGGCCCTGGCCCCGGCCCCGGCCCTCCCTTCCTTCCCCTGGCCCCGGCCTCGCCCGGGCCCAGCGGTCCTTGGCAGGCATAAGTACACTGTCCGTTCAGCAAACCCTGACAATTAATGGCCAGTCACAGTTACGGGAACCAAGTTCATCAAATCTAACCTCTGCTCCCCCCCTCAGACCAAGTCCATTAGAACATCAGCAAATCTTTGGGAGTTATCCAGACGCTAACTAGCTTCTTGCAGGCATATGGCAAATGAGGGATTTAAAAGTCTGTGGCTATCTCATTAAATGTCTCTGAGACTCAATTTGAACACCAGACTACTGTGCAATTAACAGTCATTTTAAAAACCACTTTTGTAAACGTGCCTGAAGCATAAAATCACGGGATATAAACCATGATTCTAGAATAAGTCTGAAGATCTTTCCGCAGGTGTCTTCTGCTACCTGACCTTCTGCTCCCTGTCCTCAGCACCGTCCCTTCCAGAGCTCTTCTCCTGCCCCTGGGAGGGGCCGCTCTAACGAAGGCTGTGTAGGTCTGAGCGCCACTCTCCTGAGAATTGCTCACGTAACACTGGGTGTGTTTTAATAGTACCTGCCAACAGGGAAACTAAAGCCAGGAGCCAGCTCAAAGCAGCCATTGTCATCACAAACTGCACGCACCCTGCAGCTCATAACTGACAGGCGGGCAGCCCCAAGGAAGCCTTGCCTGGCAGTGTGACGGTCACACTAACTGACACTGTGATGCCCGGCATGAGGCTGGGACCCCTTCCTACAAAGGGAAGGGCGGACTTCTTGAACGTAGGTGAGTGTGTGTTCGCGTGACATAAAGACTTCCGAACTCAGAGCCCGCAGCAGGGAACATTCTGGGGCAACCTGCTTTCCCTGATGCACTTAAGGGGCGCCGCCCCGGGGGGCCGCGGGAGCACCTCACCTCAGCCGCTCCTCCTCTTTCTTCCGAAGGCTGAAGTCTCGCTGAACCACCTGGAGGACGTGCTCCGTTTCATCATCCGTCAGGCCCGACAGGTCCAGCTTCCTCCCCATGATTTAGAGCCAGACAGGCGAGGCGAGACCTGAGAGACCAAGGAGAGGCCACAGATTGAGGGCAAAGAAAAGCCGTCGACGGAGAAAGTCAACCAGTTTTGTGATTAAACAAAATGAAACGCAGTGTTTCCATAGGCAATAGGGTGCTGTGCTCGCCTGCTCAGCGGACACTTGCAGGTGACTTCAGCAAGGCGCAGGGAGAAAGAAAGAGCCGTCCCGTCTGCCACTTCCCTCGTCCTAACTTAATTAGGAATAAATACGTCATGCTCTTCAACAAAATGAAGATACGTGAGACCCAGTGTGGGTTTCCATGAAACACCGAAAGGCAATATCCAAAATTCCTGAATTTCTATGGTTTGAAGTTTTACATTCTAAGTACTATATGTAATTGCAAAATGAAATAAATTATAATACTTTAAAAATATCCTATATACACTGTATAGCCTCGAGCTTTTCGTCACGACTATAAAATATTAACTAGAAATTGATAAACTCTCTTTTGCAAAAGGGAAAAAAAATATACTAAAATAATCTTACTTAGCCATTTTCAGCAGTAGAAACGATAGTATTTCAAAGAAACACTTCCCAGCAGTGCATAGCTGATAATTACGGGAAACTATATTTCTAAAAATCATTTTTAATGAATGGCTGCACCTAGGGATGAAATCAAATAAGTAATCCTAGCAAATCGCCCAGAACTGAAGGCGTAAACAGCAATGCAACCGTCCTCGGCAAAACAGCAGTGGAACCAGTCCAGCAAGACTTCAAAAGCATTATGATACAGCCTGACCAAGTGGGCTTTGGTTAAGTGATGCAAGGTTGGCTCAGCGTTCAAAAATCCATCAGTGTAATTCAGCACCTTAACAGGATAAAAGGGCAAAATCATATAATCGGTTCAATAGGTGCAGAAAAAGCAGTTCGCAGGGGGCCAAACCACCAGACAAGAGGGCCATCTGCAGATCTTTCCTGGATGACTAAATCTCTACTCCTGGTTTCTGCAGAAACGGTTGATTGGATCCCTGGGTGACACGTGTCATCTCTTTAGCAAGTGGCTGTCCAGCCACACCCCTGAGGTTCTCTCCAGACAGGCTTTCTCATTTTTGCACTATGGACAGACTGAGAATTCTCCAAATCTTCATGTTCTGGCTGCTTTTGCTTAACAATTCCTCTTTCGATTTATCTCTTTGCTCTCACATTTTATTGGAGGCAGCAAGGAGAAGCCAGACCATGCCTTCAACACTTCACTTAGAAATCCCCTTAGTGAAATATTCAATTTCATCTCACAGGTTCTCCCTTCCACGAAACACTAGACCACAATTCAGCCAAGTTCTTTGCCACTTTATGCAAGGACTGCCTTTCCTCCCAATTCCAGTAACATGTTCCTCATTTCTGTCTGAGATCTCAGCAGGCCCAGCTTTCACATTCATATTTTCACCAGCGTTCTGTGCATGATGACAGATGTTTTCTCTAAGATGATAGACCCTTTCTCTACAGCTCTCCTTTTCTTCCTGAGCCCTCAGCATAATCACCTTTAACGTCCATAGGTCCTTCAAGGATATCTAGGCTTTTTCCAGCATGTTCCTCAAAGCTATCCAGGCTCTACCTATTACCCAGGTCCACTTTTCACATTTTTTGTACAGAGGAAACAAAAATGGCCAATGTTTCCTTAGGAAAAGATGCTTAATTTCATTGGTAGTTACACAACTGCAAATTAAAACCACATTTCACACCCACCAAAAGAAAGAGTCTTCATCCAGCGCTGACAGGAGGTGGGACAACGGCAACTTTCATACAGTGGGTATAAATTGGTACAATGTCTTCATAACACAAGGAGGTGCCATTTTCAAAGCTAATGATGCATGTCCCCTATGAACTAGCGTTTCTGCCACACCTAGGTGCATTCCTTAGATACAATCTTGCAGATATGCACCAATTGGGTTGAATCGTATGAAATTTCTGAGTGTGTACTATTTTCACCTGCAAAAATGCCTGCTTTACATAGTTCAACCTAACACAAGAATATTGATAGCGGTCACATTCAAAATAGCACCAAATACATGAAAACATCATAAATAAAACCTAGAAATGACCTCAGACATCCATAAACAGGAGGAAGGATGAGCACACGGTGTTATTTGTTTCATACGATGGAATAGTCTAATGCAGTGAAAAAGAACAACACACTGTCGGCTTAAGCGCCATCATGGGTGAGTCTTTAAAACATAATGTTGAGGCAGAGGAGCAGGCCACACGGGCCGACACGTACAGTAGGCGTGCAGTATGATTCCCTTCATAGGAAGCTCGAAAGCATACAAAGCCAAAGAATATATATTTTTATGAAAAAAGGCGGTACGACTGCGGAGAACAAAATGGGTCCTCTGAGAGGAGAGAGGGTTTGATTGGGGATAATCGTGTATGGGCTTCAGAGCTACCAGTGAAGTTCTGTCTCATCAGAGAGGCAGTGGTATTGCTGCTGCTGTTTCATTATAATTATTATTATTATTATCACCATCATCATCATTAAAAGTTTCAAGTTACGCCCCGGCCGGTGTTGCCAATGGTTAGAGCGTCGTCCCGGGCGCTGAAGGGTCTCCAGTTTGATTCCTGGTCAAGGGCACGTACCTGGATTGCAGGTGGGAGACAACCAATGTGTCTCTCACGTCGATGTTTCTCTCTTCCTCTCTCCCCTCTCCCCCTTCTACTCTTTAAAAATAATGGGAAACATAGCCTTAGTTAAGGATTAACAAAAAACAAAACAAAAACAAAAAAAGTTTCAAGTTACATGCACTTTGGTCTATAAGGTATCTTTCATAAGCATATAAAGTAAAACGAACCTAACACTAAATAAAAATCATCTAATTTCATTATAATTAAAGCAAATATTTGACATCACGCACCACAGAGGAAACAAGATTAAAGCAAAAATACGAAACGTCGTTCAAGGAATATCTGAGAATTGTAATAAAATGATGATGATGATTTTGATTCACCATTATTGATTGAACTCCTATTATGCTCCAAATGTTTTAGCTGTTCATATATATATATATATATATATATATAACACTTAACATTCTTAACTCCCACAAAATCCTATAGGCAATCACTACCATCACCACCACTTACATATGAGAAAACGCGGGCTCATAGTTACATTTCTGACTAAGACAAATGACAAATGACAGCTAGAGTCTGACTGCATCCTGACCTGGCCCCGAGGCCACACCTTCGCTCCACGCACACGCCTTCTGCGAGCTGCACAGGGAGACTCTGGGCCCCAGATTCTCACAGTTGAGGTCCAGAGGTCCACGCCTGGCTCTTTCTAGCGTGTGGCAGCTAAGAACAGGGGATCCCATGCTTTGGCTGCTGTTCAGATGGAGGCGATCTGCCCTTTTAGTCTCCAAATAATGGCACCAATCACAGGGAACAGAACAGTCTCAGTCCTCAAAAGTCTTTCGCTAAGTAATTAAAAACCTCATGACTGTATGATGCGAACTAATCTCAAGATTTAACCAACAAATCACAACAAAAATGTCAACTATTACAATTTTTTTCCAAGCCAGTAATGTTGTCTGTCAAAAGCATTTCTTTAGTCCACTTTGCCCAAGTAATGGGTGGGGGGGGAGGAAGAGAACCTCGGGCACCTGCTGGTCCCCAGGAGTAAGTCAGAAGGAAGCTTCTTGTCTCTGAAGAAACAGATGAGAAGACACAGTGAAAATGCAGGCTGGCTCCTTCCTTTAAAACACCCCATGGAAGGGATGGATAATGGCACTTTGGAGTTTCCCAGAAGGTGGCATGTCTGTTCCCTTCACTTTACTTCACTGGCATGTGGCTTTGGAGAATTCTGGATGAGACCCTGAGATGCCCGGTGAGCGGCCCTGGTCGCATCAAATCCAAGAAGGGTAATCGGAAGCAGAGAGAGAGATAGTTGTGGAGAAACAAATACAGTGCTCGACACGGACAAGTCAGGGGAAAGAGGAAACCTCTTTTTGGGAAACGGTGACAGCTTCTTCCTTTTTCTACAATAAACACAATCAGGTTCCCTGTGCAAGAGAAACAGCATCTTAGAGCTGGCGGAGCCTCGGTGTCCGTGAGCCAGAGGTCACCTGGGTCTGGCAGAGCCTCGGTGTCCGTGAGCCAGAGGTCACCTGGGTGCGATGCTTTTGTTGAAAGACAAGCCCAGGAGAGGAGGGGATTTTCCAAACAGACCCCGGTTCAGTGCTCCTGCCTCGGGGTTGCTCCGGTTTACACCCAACTAAGATGGTTGCAGAGAGGATGCGTTTTAAAAATCAGTAATGAGAAAATTAATACAACTTCAAGATTTAATTATATCACTATTTCTCCAATGTGTGTTTCTCAGGTTACTGTTCCCATAAGCAGTCGGAGAAAGGGGAGCTCTGCGATTAAATGAATTTGAGAAATGCTCCAAACTGTATTGCTCTCTTGGGGATGCACTATGCATATAAGCGTATCGGAGCCTTTGAAGAGTCTGTCACTGAAGAACCAGTTTGATTTCGCTGAACCCTGTATTTCCCAAAAGTGTTTGTCTACAGATGCCTCGTTCTTTGAATAACAGCTACCTGTTCACATCCAAAAAATGACCCTCTGGGAACTACTGCAGTAAGTCCATGATGACAAACTCTAGCAGCTACTCTAATATGATTACTGAGCTGCTTTAGCTCTGTTTTAAAGTAATTATCATAAGAAGCGACAGAGTTAGATGAGCTTTAGAAGGTGGTTGACTTAAATAAAGAAACCAAATGCGTACAACTTTAAAGTTCAGAAAACCAAAACAAAGGTAGGACTGTCCACACTGTTCCTGGCTGGCGTCACTAACATGAGGAAGCATAGGGACAGTCTTTCAGGAAACTGGTTAGCACAAATCTTGCAAATGAAAAAAACCAGAATTCCGAGGATATTAAATACATACGTGAAGGTGCGTCCTGAAAGGTCAATGTCTACACAAGCAACTTTCTGGAAAAGGTACCTAGGACAGAAAG